CGTCCCCTCCCCCCAGCCGCGCTCGCGTGTGTCGGCGGGGACGAGTGAAGCCCCTCGCACGGGAACGGGCTCTGGCAGCGCCGCCGGCATTTCTTGCCTGGTTTGATGGTGGCAGCAGCCTGGGAACGCTCGTCACGGGTCTTGGATTGGGAGTAGGCACCCCCGCTGGTCTGTGACCCCCAAAAGTCAGGGAGGGACTAACCCTCGGCCCTGGGAGGCCCGGCCCCAGGAGCCAGCCGGGCAGCGCACAGCGGTTGGGGCTGTGCCCCCCTTCCCCGAATCCCACTGGCTTCGTGGGTCGCCCTCAACACTAACGCAGATTTCAAAGTTTCATTGCAAGTAGAATGCCAGAATCCATCTTCCGTGTAGGTAGCATCTGGGAAGATAAGTAGCAATTAAATAAAAGGACACTCTTTTGGGGGAAGTTGCTGTCTTAAGTTGTACCTGGCTATATATTACTATTTCATTCTGTTGGTAGCAACTGCTGGGAGCAGAGGCAGGTCCCTGCCCCCATGGGAAGGGTACCATCATCAGGAAGAACAGGTCCCACGTGCCCCGCAGTTGTAGAGCGCAGAATATATAGCGAACACAAACAGACGCTGGCTTAACTGCTGCTCCAAAGGTATCCATGAGCTCCGCAAACTGGAGCACAGCTGTAATCATGCAGACTTTGTATGAAGTTGTGCATCCTCCCTGAATGCGTAAGTCTTTCTCAGGCCAACACCCGTGGTGGCTGGCAGAGCGAGGATTGCCGCAGCGCCGGGGCTCGGCACGTAGGGAGCGTGTCTCTCGCTCCTCCGCCTGCCCAGTAAGTCAAGCAAACGCCCGCCAATATGGTGCGACAGGACCAGCACGTGTGCCCGGGCTGGGGCTGCTGGAGAGATATCGTCTCTTCTGCCTCTGGTCCTCATTTTCAGGTTCATTTTCTCTGTTGTAAAGGAAAATGTTAATTATTTATTAGAGACAAAACCTGCATATCAGTGGAATGACTTGGGAGGTGTCAGTAAACAATCATTTGCATAGTACGTGTTTTGGAAAATCTGAAGTAAAATATTCCCTTTTCATCTGAGTTGTTTAGGAAAAAGAAATTTAGAAACTTCTTCTGATGGTAACAGCATGTACTTTAAATTTGTTATTTTTAAGAGTGTACTCCACTCTCACTAGTGCCAGGAGGCCAGTGCTTAACGTTTATTACCAGTTGAAAAGCTCCTTAGATAATTTCCTCTCCCATGTTTTCATCGCAATGGCTGCTCATGCTTCTAATTTTAGAGGTACTTTTGATTTTTTGCTCTCTTTAAGAATGGATAAGAGCTGTGCATCCTCTTGGATGAAACAAGCAGAGGGAAGGGCGTACACGCCAAAGCTGAAGAGAGCAAATGAGCGCATGTTAACAAGGACCTGTGCAAAGATGGAAGTAAATGCACCCTGGGCACACGCACCTGGCTCGTCTTAAACATTTCTCTGCTCTTGACAGAGCGTGTGCAAGTTGTCCCGACTGTGAAACAAGAGATCTAGAAGAGGAAATGGTGTCAGTACGATTGTAAACATCAGTGTATGAGGATTCCAGTCTGTGGTTTCCAAATCCCTGTGCATGATTTGCACATTGATGGTGTTTTCAGAGTGATTCGTTGATAATTGAAGGGTTTTTTCTGCAGGTTCATTGCTGGCAGTGATTTTGTGCTGGGTATATAGGTGTGTGTATGTGTAGATACTGAAATACCTCCACACGTATTGACTTATGAAAAAAGTTGTCTTACTTGACCAAGAGCTGCCTAATTATAGTACTCCAGCCTCCCGTGGAGGGTTGTTAGATGAATAAGAAGGTATTGACATTCTATGACTTATTTCTGCAAATGTAGGGGAATAGGCTATTAAATTACCCCAGTAAAAGCCTGCCCACAGCAGACGCTGAATCAGTGTAAATGAGAATTTTCAAAGTTATTTCCCTCCCCAAAACAGCTGCACAGGCACCACGCAGACCAGGCCCAAAAGTTTATTATTAACATCGTTCACCCTGCGTGTGCTGGCAGAGTTAAAAAAAAGGTGTTTGCCTTACAAATCCTTTCTGCCCTCTACCACACAGCTGGAGGATCCCAGCGAGGGAAGCGGTTCTGTGTAGAGCCCAAGAGATCAAAGTCCTATTAAAAGAAACTCATATCATTTCCTCCCCTGGGAGAGAAGGTAATTTACAGAGGAAGGTCTTTGCATGGAAATTCAGCTGCTTCCTTGGACATGGCTCCTTCAGAGGGGGGAGTTTTTCCTGGGGGAGGACTGGGAGCTCATGTGTTCTTCTGATGACCCAGCATCCAGGGGCCTTTGGTGTCACCTACTCGGAGGTAGGTTCTCCACGTGGCTCGCTGGGCCTTCTGCCTCCTCCTCCTCCTCCTTCTCCTCGGGACCGCAGTGCTATTCCCAGGCACTTCCTGGCTGGCGTTGTCCCGTGGGTGGGGAAGGCCGTGGAGCGGTGAGAGATGCCAACACTAAAATAACCCTTTGGCCGGGACGCTGTGCTCCCGCGTCCACGTTGGGTCCCTGAGGCGGAGGGATGGGGGGGGGAGGAAGGAAGTGAGGCCGCCTGCCACAAATAACTCTCCATCCTCTCACAGGCCTCCCGGCCCAGCCTCCCCCGCACCCTTCCCTCTCCGCCTGCAGGGGCTGGGC